GGGGGGGGGGTTCTGCCTGGGATTTGAGCAGCCCCATTGCCACCGTCCAGCCCAGGGGAAGGGCAGACAGTGGGATGTATTCACTCATGGTCTTTTCCAGGAGTTACGAATGGAAATTGCTAAACAAGAGTTAATCGTCCAAGCCCGAGAAGCAGCGTCCAGGGTCCTTAGTGCACTGAGCGGTACGTGTGGCTTGGGTCCCCCCTCTGTAATTCTGGGGGCCACCAGCTGGGGGCTCCTCACAACGGTGCTTTCTCTGTCTCCATGCAGATCGGCAGATGTCCGAACGGATGGCCTTGGATGCCCGGAAGCGAGAGCAGTTTCAGAGGCTGAAAGAGCAGTTTGTGAAGGACCAGGAGGTGGGTGGGTTGAGGGTCCTGGGTGGGGGTGGGGAGGGTCAGCTCGTAGGGTCCGGTTTAACCAGTGAGGCTACATGTGTACGTGTTGTGCAGCGACGCCGGGCAGCCAGGCAGGAGGAGCTGGATGACGACTTCAGCTACGCCCGTGAACTCCGGGACCGGGAGAGGAGGCTGAAGGCCCTGGAGGAGCAGCTGGAGAGGAAGGCGAGGTAGGGTGGCCGAGGGCAGAGCGGTCACTCCGGGCTAACCCTCCTTGGGTAAGGGCACGCAGGGCCCCCATAACTGGTTTGATCTTAGTGATGGTCGTTTTACTTTTTATTTGGAAAATTTTCAAGTAGTTACCTCAACTCTGGGCATCCACTTGGCCTCAGTACTCCTGGACGTGGGTGTTGGCATGCTTAGGTATCCTGAGCTGCCCTCCGAATGTCTCTCTTGGTTGGTTTGTGTGGGTGGAGTCCAGGCATGTCCCTGCTCCTTGTCTCTGTTTATGGTAAATAACTCCTGTTCATTTAACTTTAACCTGTTATCAGCCTGGCAGAGAGGGGCATCTGTCCAGCACAGCATCAGACAGTCCGTCTCTTATGGTGTCAGGCTTGTCCCACCCTCCCCTGTGTTTCCCCTAAGCTGGGAGCAGTGCTGGCCTCTCCGGGGTGCCTTTGTTTGGGGGGCTGTCCCTTCCTGCTCTTGGCCCTGGTGGTCCCGAGCTCAGATGCTGTTTGTAGAGCAGTGACCTGGAGCCAGAGTTATGTACACATATGTCTGTGTCTGTGTGAACATACTTGCATGTGTATGTACGTGCACATGTCTGTGAGTATATGCACGCGTGTGTGCATGTGTGTGTGCGCACTTGTGGGTAGATGTGATTCTCTTTCCTTCTGTGCAGCTGAGGAAGGGAGGCTGCCCCCAGGCTGTGTAGGGGCGCATGCTGGTGCTCATTCAGCACCCAAGCCCTGGCTGGGTGCTGGCCCCTGGTGGGTGGGATGACCAGCCTGATGAGGCCCTTGCAGGAGCTGTGGGGGTGCAGAGGAACCAGCTGGTGGTCTGGGGAAAGTGCCAGGCTGTGCAGACCACGCACCAGGGCCTCTGTCATAGAGAACCATCCACGTGGGGAGCCAGCTGGACAGTGTGGGGTGACTGGTGACCAGTCCTCTCTGGATGTGGCTTCAGGCAGGCGCTGGTTGACCATTATAGCAAGTTGTCTGCAGAGGCAGCTCGTCGAGAGCAGAAGGCACTGTGGAAAATCCAGAGGCACAGACTGGCGGGTGTACGGGCTCGCTTTCTCTTAGAAGACCAGGAACATATTCAGGTGTGTGTTAGGGGCAGCTCTTCCCCGGGGTCTAGGGGACTCAGAAGCCCCTGAAACTCCATGCACACCTGTGCACCCTTTTAGGGGAGGGTTGGTGATTCTTCAGTTGTTTGGAGACGTGGTTGGGAAGAAGCTGTGAGTGCTGCCTTCAGGCTGGGAGCAGGGTGCTGCACAGGCCTTGCCTTGTCTCAGTGCCACTGCAGTTGTGACCGGTGGGCATGGAGGCTCTGGGCCGGGTGGTTCAGGCCTGAGTGTCAGGTCTGCTCCACTTTGAGCAGCTGCTGCCTCATATCTTGCTAACTGAATTTCAGGCCATGCTGAAAGATGCGTCCAAGGGGAAACCCCCAGAGCCGCCGACTGTCCTCCTGAGTGCATGCTCCCAGGTGAGGGGCTGGGCAGGACCCAGAGTGTGTAGTGGGGACTCTGGGTGCCCAGGCCTGTGCTGCCTAGGGAGCACAGTGGGTGCCTGTCATGTGTCCCCAGCCCCCTATTTGATGGGTTTTGGTGCTGGTTACAGGACTGAATTTGGTGATAGAGCCAGACAACTAGAGGAACCAATGTGCTCTTGTGTTTTAGGCCTTGTCTCCATGCCCTGAGCACCCCGATGGAGGTGGCAGCTGTGATTCTGGGTGTGCAGAGCAGCACATGACTGCCTGGGATGGCCCAAGCAGACCAAGTGAGCTGACGCCACAGCCCCTTGAGCCTCTAGCAACGGCCTGCGGCGGCTCAGAGCTGGGAGCAGGCCCACAGCCAGAGCAGGCAGAGGTGCTGGGACCATTCTCTGCAGGCCTGAGCATCCAAGATTTCCTGCCCATGGGCCAGGGTGCTGAGCAGCTTGTGGACACTGGTGTGGCCCCTGTCTTGGAGGAAGCACTGCAGACCATTGGCTCAGACCTTCCCCCCTCGGCTTCATCAGCAACAGCAGGCACAGGGTGCTCTGGGCCACAGGAGTACGATTTCAGAACCGTCCTGAGGCCAGCTGTAGTCATGGCCCCAGGGTCTCTCCAGACTGTAGGAGGTAGCTTGGGCTTTGAGGGGCTGCAGCTGTGGGGGGACAGTCACGTGCAGCTCGACACGTGTGTTCCGGATGGACAGGTGACTCTGCCTTACCCACACCCGCCCAGGAACAACTTCCCCCAGGAGAGGAGTAGCCAGGCCATGGGGCAGCCCCCTGGGCATGTGTCAGAGGATGGTATTCTCACAGGGGGTTATGCTTCCGGAACGGCCCCCTCCCGGCCACGGTGGAACGTCCATGGACATGTGTCTGATGCCAGCATCAAGGTGGGAGAGAATGTGTGGGATGTGGCACCCTCCCGGCCACGGTGGAACATCCACGGACATGTGTCTGATGCCAGTATCAAGGTGGGAGAGAATGTGTGGGATGTAGCATCCTCCCGGCCACGGTGGAACGTCCATGGACACGTGTCTGATGCCAGCATCAAGGTGGGGGAGAATGTGTGGGACGTGGCATCCTCCCGGCCACGGTGGAACGTCCACGGACACGTATCTGATGCCAGCATCAAGGTGGGAGAGAATGTGTGGGATGTGGCATCCTCCCGGCCACGGTGGAACATCCATGGACATGTGTCTCAGTCCCAGGTGATGCTGGGGGTGCTCCCAGAGGAAGCCCAGCCTGATACGCCCAGACCCCTTCAGAGTCCCCCTGACCACGTGTCCCAGTCAGGCCTCAGCCTGGAAGCACAGAGCCCTCCTAGGGAACATGATTCACAGCTGCTGGCAGCCCCAGCCCCAGACAGCTCCTGCACTCGGGTGGCTGGCTCTGGCTCTGGGGAAGGTGGCCTCCAGGCCATGCCATCTGCTGAGGCTGAGCCCAGTGCTCTGGGAGACAGCATTTCTGAGGAGCCAGGTCAGTGGGACCTCAGCTGTCCTGTCACTGCTGGTGTCTGGGTCCAGGAGGGAGCGGGAGGAAGGGTGAGAAATCTGCTGTCCTGGGGACTAAGGAGGTACTGCCCCACAGCAGGCACTCGTCCCTTATACCCCCTGCTGACCCATTTATGCCACTCAGGCCCAGGGAAGAGTGGGGACATCGAGGACTGCTCTCCAAGCCGGCCTTCAAGCTCACAGGTCAGGGCAGATGAGGTTGGGGGGTCGGGTGGGGGAGCACACTCCGCTGGCCACCCCCTGCCTGGCCTTGCATGGGCTGTGGGCCACCTGCCCTTCCTCTTTCGGACAAGGGACAGGGCAGGTGCCTTGATGCTGGGTTGTCTTAGGAAGGTGCAGCCGCCCAGAGCAGCCCAGGCCTCGGGGAGCAGGTGGACGACGGGGCAGTGGCCAGGAACCAGGGCAGGGAGCAGGCTTACCTGGCAGGCCTGGCGGAGCAGTACCGCCTGGAGCAGTACCCCGACAGCTACGAGGCCATGTGTGAGTGGGCAGGCTGGGGCGGGCGGCGGGCACCCGGGGTACGCCCAGGGGTGGACATCAGGCTGTGTCGCCCCTGCAGCAGAGCCTCCTGTCGCACGCCTCCTACACCACGGGCTTCCTCGGGCCTTCGCCCTCCCCGAGGACACCCGGGGCCCGTCGGACACAGATGAGACCATGGACGAGACCGCAGTGCAGCTGAGCGAGCTGCTGCCGCTGCCGGTGCTCATGAAGCACTCGGTCACCGCGCCGCTGGCCGCCCAGTGAGTGCCCCCACCCCCTC